ATACTAGTGATTGTAAATAGTAAAGTGCATTATAATTGAATTGTGAATTACGGAGTAAATAAAGGACATTAGATTAATTCTTTATAACGAAAGAAACTGCAAATTAAGTTGGCGAGTTTTTATTTAACAATCCAGAGATCGTACCCGAAGGATTTAGAAAATAATCGAGGTTGATTTAGCAAAATCGTAACAGTATTAAGAAGATTCAAAACGTACACATCTAGCAAAAAAAAGCCATGCCATCACCATGACAACACTATTTTAATTGCAAAAAAGCCCTACTCGAGACGAACGCTGGCGCACCGTCTACCAAACGAGCTGCGCAGACAGCACACTACTCCCCGCATGCGACTCGCCATCAAGCCAAAGTGCCAAAAATTGAAAGTTGAGCAAATTTGTGTCTTCTTCGACAACAGCAAATCACGCTCTCGATAGAGTGAACTTTTTGTTTAGATTTACAAAATGTATTTGAAATAAATGCCAAACAAATGTTTAGAAAAAAGTCTCATTATTTTTAGACATGAATTTTTTCATTTAATTTATATTTAGCAATTCGAGAAAATGTAAAATTTAATAAGAAACTTAAAATCGATGAGGAATTAATTAGCTATTCTATAATTCATAAAATTATTCGATTATTAGATTAATGCATATTTCAATTATGAAAAATATAGGAATATTATTTGAAAAGGATAATTAACTAGGACAATTATAGATTTCAATACAAATTCCAAATCTATGAAGTTATATACGAATCACTCCTTTAGCTGTTGACTAACGACTGATATATTCGTGGTATACAAAGTTTACAGTACCTGCAGTGCAATTCTGTAACTTTTATCGACACGATTTGTCGGATCGCAAAGTTACGAATTTTGTCGCTTGCGCTAACGATTATGCGATTCTCTAACGCAGTTGTTACGATAATCGACATCGCACATTTCCATTTTATTAATATGTAGGAAAGGTGGCACCACAGCTCAACGAAACGTCAAAATGTACAAAAAGCACAAAGAGGAATGACAAAAACAAATAAATTTGTAATTGAAATTATTTTATTAAAAGAATAGCAATGCATTACAAAGTTTTTCAAAAGCATGTTATGGTTTGCACTTTCATGCATGACTCTTCGCTCTATAGGGGAGCTCCAAATAAAATAATTGTGCCGCGCTCTTGGGTACTTGGCATTTGTCAGTATAATCTTGCGATAAGGACCATATATCTATGTGAAAATATAATTAACTTTGTTACTACAATAGTAATCGGAAACAAATTTACTCTCACCATTTGCACATTGATGGAGTGGTATCCATGGTGGTTTATATACGCTTCTTCATGGTTTTTAACTCATGTGCAATCGATAGCTCCAATAGTGCCTCCAACATATGGTGACGATGACGAAGCAAAAATTTGGAAAACTAACAGAAAACCTTGAACGGTTGATTGCGTCTGTTACGCGATGAACACAACGGTTTACTGACGACTGACTCATGGACATGCCCATTGCAAAAAATCGCGAGGCGGGTAGAACCTTTAAACATTATAATAGTGTTAAGACTAAAAAAAATATTGAAAATATATATTATTACCTGTTTCTCCGTAGACAATGCTGTTATTCTTCTTCCTTTTAGTTGACAATCTAGTTCAGAAACGATTTCTTCAACTAAATCCGGCGAAACTCGGTAGCATCCAAATGAAAAGGATCTTCCGCTTCTCGACGCAAACTTCTATCCGATGGGTAGGATACCTCTTCATCTTGTGATAAATCCTATGCCAAATATTCAAAAGCCATTTATTTTATTATTTTACTTTTATTTTTGTATTACTTAGACACTTTACTCTCTTATATGATATAACAAAATTTTGTCGATATCGCTAACAACTCAAAAATATTGGTCGCTTTGTTAGCTATTTTTCGAATCCGAAAATCGTTATAATACGATAGAGAATTGCCCTACAGGTGTTACTTAAAGCTTTTACCCAATATGATGATGCCATCTAGTTGAGAGCTACGAAAAAGCCAACAAGAACATCCCTACTTGGAACTTCTAATGAACGTACTGCTGATGGACAGGCGGCCAAGTAAGGAGCAGATATCAATAGAAATTCCAATTGTAAAGTCATACTGGGCGCAGTAGAACAGTTTAAAGTTTGCGCAAAGTATGGAAAAAAGAAGATGGTCATTTCTCCATCTAATTGTAGCTCCGAAGTTAAGAATTACGATGCAGGCACTTTACTTACAAGCAGACTAGGAAATATTTACTTTCTTGAAGTTAATGACATATAGCCCGAGGTCTACCAAATTACAAGCCAGGAAGCTAAAACTCTAGTTGATGCGGAACTGCACTTTGCCCAAGGGAAGAACTTCCAATCGGTGGAATTTTAAGCGATGTGCCAGATACTGGTTTTTCGGAAACCCTGAATGATAGCTCCGCGACCCCAATAAGATGGTGTGGTGGAACAATTTAACCGAACCCTGGAAGAGCCACATACCTTCGTTCCTGTTCGGATATCGCTGTGCACGTAACAAGGTTTTTGTTGTGAAGTGATTTAAAGTTTGGAGTAAATGTTGATGCGAAAAGAATTGTGATTGGTTTTACACATTTGAGTTCACATGGATTTTATGCGGCCAAAGAGGTGTCACCCTTTCGGCGACCTCACCCGCGTTTGGTCAGCAGGTAACATTAGACTAAGTGCATCAACAAATCAACACACCTTGGCTGGGTTTTTCCAAATCCTTTTCATCAGGGCATTCATCACTCCCACCCAGTCTGAGTAAGCACCCCCACAAAACCCATTGAAGCATGACTCCCGTTCAAGGTCTCTGCCCCTACATACATCTACCATACCGCCACCAATTAACACCAAGTGTTAGAACAGCAACACCTCAGACCAACGCATCACTCTCTTACTCTCCGTAT